TATAGGCTTGCCTTTCAAAGCTACCACAAAGCATTACATGAATTGGGCAGTTAATAAAAATTGACTAAATGAACCATATTATATCAACCTTAAAGGACTGCATTGCTTTCCATTAGGCTTTTGGGATGTTAAGCATTCCCCTGCCTCAAATCCACCCCCCCCGCCATGATTTTCTGTACGTCTGAGTACATTGGGTCCTCATATTTCTCCCTTGTGTGTGGATGATGCTGTTTTGGCTACATAGACCTGCATTTAGTGTATGCGCTATATCACCAGTAATATATATGTCTATTCAGTACTGACAGTGATGACTAGCTAGCTTCAGAAAGCAAGATGACTTCATTTTAGCTTGGAAAGGGGTCTTGCAAAACACATCCATTAGATGGTGCTCCAGCTGTAATGTCTAACAATTCTTTCCCTTGAGAATACATAGGAATGTGTTGGGACTTAACTGCTTATTTGGCCAAATTTAAAAATTGTTTAATAAAACTGACAGTCAAATTTAAGAGTAGCATAGCACCTAAGTTTGAAGTGCTGTAAGATGTATGTATTTACCATAAAAATGACTATGAACATTAATTCTTTTTAAAATATTTTCCTCCAGATTGTTTATTTGATTAGATTATTTCCCTTTGTCATGTGAACTATGCAAGTTGATATGAAAAGAAAAGAAAAACAAGCATTAGGTACCCATGGTAACAGAACCATCACCAACACCAACAGCAAACAACTGACAAACTGAAGTTTTGTGTTTAAAGGATTATGAGTGATATTTCATAACACTGTTTTATTAGATTTTCCTTCTAGTGCTACTATATATATCAGAAATGCTAGATCCAAAATAAAATAATAGCCGACACAGCATTTGACAACTAATGCAATTGAAGAAGCAAGGTTGGTGGATAGAGACATAGCAGGCTGTAAGTCTAATGAAAAATGAAAGTGATCCATCATTCAAAACGGGATGAAGGGAAAGGCAGACGTGTGCACACACTAGCTATAACAAAGACAAGTACCGCTCCATTCTGCAGTATGCACTGAATTCTAGTTTTGCTTCAAAATGCAATCCAAGGGGTTGCATTTAATCAAGAAAATGATGATGTGCCTTGAACTTGGCTCTGGAGAGATGACATCTCTCCTCCCATGTGCTAGTGGGAATCAAGACCAGCTGCAGCATTTTTCGTTAACAGATGGAAATCCCACCTTTCCATTCTGCTTGGAAGTAGCTCTAGAGATGGCCAAGAAGAATGTAGCTGGATTAAATGATGGCAGGGCCAGCCCTACCATTAGGCAAAGTAAGGTGGCTGAGTCAGGCCACAGATCTGGCTTTTCATGAAAGGGCAAAACATTGTTGGTTATCTGATCTGTTGTCATTGTGTTTCAACTGCTGGGGATGGAGAAAGGACTCTGACTTGCCTGCCAAAATAATTTGGCTGACCTTGCATACTACATACCCTGAATTGAGTGGATGGATGGTGCCATTTGCTGCTGCATCCCAGGCAGCAAAATGTCTTGGATCAGCCCAGAGAGAAGGTGTTATATGGTGCGCATATCAAGGAATAGGCAAATTCATCTTGAAAGCTGCTTCAGGAACAAGCGAAGGTAGAGGATGCAAAGTGAAGGCACAAAACTAGAGAGAGGTGAGCAGTGGAGCCAAGATCAGGTGTGGCCCGTTTGGAGTTAATCTTTGTTGCTGACCTCACCAGTGCCCACTATACCAAAATATCTTCTCCCAAAGCATTGCCAAACAGTGCAAGGAGAGACTCGGGTGACATTGGAACATAGCAAAAAAGTGCTTTCCAGAACAGTTGGCTTGGCTCTTTTGTTCCTATCCAAAATCCACCATAGCGCATTTTGTTGGAAGCACGGGGCTGGCGGGGTGGGAGAAGAGAGAACAAATGATTCAAATTTGTATTAAAAATAACTTTATGAAAACTTACAGCTGTCTTCCATGGCACTGCATAGCAGTCTTAAGGGAAGAATTATCTCTGCGCATTTAGTTTGTCTCTGTTCTGGGTAATATACTGCTATGTATGTTGTGAAATTCTGAAATTCTTTCAAAAAGCTCACAGACTACAGTCAAAAATGTGTATGGGATTAATGAAAATATACTCAAAGCTTTTGCCATTATCTGTGACCCTGAGGGCACCAATAAAGTTGTCACTTTAATCTGAAGTTTATGTGGCTATTCCAGGAATTAAATAGTAGTGCAGGACTGGCCAAATTCTGTTATCCTAAGAAGTTATTCTGATCTTCTGACATTGGTCCAAGGATCAAACAAATGTCTTCTGCTACTTCACAGTTAGGGAAAACTCTAACAAAACGCCTGCATCACCTCACAATGATGGATTTTAGATATGGAACCCATGCATGTTAATGAACTGATTTTAAAAGAGGAGGCCCCCCTTGCACTATATCTGTGGCACTGCAATAGTGAATTGCATGCCTGGAGTTGCAGTTAGCATCCTGCAACTCTTCCTGAGAGAAAGAGAAAGTGGAAAATGAATTCAGGGTTTTTATTTTTTTTTTAAATTTGGACTAATTGCTGTGTGCAGATGGCATCTTGAAATTTTCAACCCTATTTGTGGAAAGATATATTGAGAGGGCAATTTCACTAAATTTTTCCAAGAGAAGAAAGAATTATCCAATAGTTCTTTGAATTTTTCAGCACAATTCTCTAATTTACAATCTGTACATAATGTGTGTTTGGAGGAAAGGGCTCACAAACCCAGGCACATTTATGATAGTGGCATTAAACATGCATTAATTAGAGCAAAACAGCATATATTCTATGAAATTTCATATGAAGAAGCATAAAATGTATACAGTTTTTCAAACAAAACTTTTTAAAGTTCAGGATGAACCAAGCTGAAGATTAAAAATTCTCAAAGCTGTAGCAGAACTGAATTTAAGATTAATAGAATTAGGAAAGGAGATAAACCAAAACTGTTAAAAATTTCTCTTCCTACTTGAAAAACTTCCTTCACTTTAGTTTCAGCTTCTTACATACTTTCAAAATGACAATAATTTCAGGGGTCATCTTTTGATACAGTGGTTTGGTTACTTTCTTAATTACTGAAATATCAAGGAACTACATTTTTAAAAAATAATGGCTTGAATTTATTCAAGGGGACTATCCATGTTATCCTTAACAGTACATGACTATGGATATATGAAGCACGAGAACTCACATTTGTTGAGTTTCCCCAGATTAGGCATTGAAGCTTGTTCCAACTCATGATATCTGGTTGTGGGCTTTGCTTATTTTGAATGGCAATTCCTGCTTATTTTAAGGCAAACTTCCCCAAACTAGCATACCTATTGTGTACATTTATGATACCTGCTCATCTTTCTCCTATTAATTAAAGCATATTCATGCACATTTTTCACAAGTGTAAATTTTTGTGTGCATTTCTTAAACACTGCTTTTGTTTAATTGCATCACAAGCTTGTAAATGTATAGATTATAGAAAGTCATATTATGTTCTGGTTCATGCTCAGTTCTGGAAGGTGCAAACTGGGTAAATTCTTGCCAAAATTAAATGAAACAAATTTCTCATCCATCTCTGTGCATGACAAATGGCATAATCTTCATAAACAACTCAAAATGACAAAAGGCCATTCACTTGGGAAGAAAAATAGCTGTTCCTAATACATTTTTGTCAACTCCTTGGATATAACTTCTGTGATTGTTCTATCATCAGCAGCATCATCAATCTATCAGTGATATAAATCTTATTTTCCTTCCCTTTCCCCATCAAGCTGGTCAAGTTTAGGAAGGTTCAGTGTAAGAAACAGATGCTATAGTTTTGCTGGTATAGATAATTATCCCAAACTCATCTTTTAGTAATTGGGCAGGAAAGACCTGTATCCCTTAAGCCTTTCAATTCAATTGCTTATAAAAATGATCCTTGTTCAGCTAGTAACTTGAAATTGGCATCCATAAACAACATGGTGAGGTCCTCTCTCTCTCTCTCTCTCTCTCTCTCTCTCTCTCTCTCTCTGTGTGTGTGTGTGTGTGTGGTGTGTGTGTGTGTGTGTGACATATTTCAAACTGATCTAATACTGTTGCCACAGGTACAGCAAGTTAAAAAGTGCTGGAAATTGATACAGTGGCCCTTCTTACTCTTATTTTTAATCAGGTATATCATATGCTCCTTTCTAAATTTCATGAAAACCAAGTACTGTATGTATTTTATTTTGGCTTGTTGAAAAAGGCAGTCCTTCAGTTTGATTTGGTCAAGGTCTGACTGGGTCCCCTGCACTTGCCATTTACGTGATGAAAAAGTGATATGACAAAAGAAATGGATCGAGACCACAGCATGGGACAAAGGGTTACTTCCCCCTACCCTTCGCCTTCCACACCCTGTTAATCTGCATTTAATCTATATTAATATATAGTTTGGGAAATTACCACAACTTGGACAGAAAAATCTTGCACCGTTCATGCACCATTTCCCAATGTGGCATGGTAGTTGCGGTGTTGGACTGGAAATTTGGAAGATTAGGGTTCTGGTCCTCACTTGACCATGAAGCTCATTGGGTCACTTTGGGCCAGTCACGCAACCCTTAGCCTAACCATCCTCACAGTGATGCTCTTGTGGGGATAAAATAAGGAGTGATGGAGAAAAATGTAAGCTATCTGGACCTTCTCACGTGAAGACAAAGGTGGGACATAAATGCATTGTAATAATAATAATAATAATAATAATAATAATAATAATAATAATTTCCCCTCCCACTGCAGCAATTTAAGCTACAGTCCACAATATTCAATAGCCCCTTCCCCCACTGGAAGGTTTTTTTTAGGATACAGGGAAGATGACGAAGAGAAAGTATTATTGCTTAAGCTTCCTTCTACCTGCACAATGTTGAAAATCACCTAATTGATATAAATTTTGCCTGAAAACAAGCAAAACAAAGTAGTGTGGGTTACAATATGTGTCGGTGTTCATAAAGGAGAATTCTAAAGGGCCTTTGAACTTAAATCTTATACTTACTTTCCCATAGCTCAGCATAATGATTCTCACCAAGACGACATTAATATGAGCACCTAAGGACTCATCATGATAGATTTCATTAACCTGCAAGAGAAGAGAAAAACATTTAGAAAGATCCCACAAGGATAACATGATAAAAGCCAAATACTCAAAAGATGATCAACAACCACTTCCCTTAAACAATGGCATATTCATGTAACAACAGCACTATCGTGCTATGTCAGATTAAAAGCTAGCAGGGCAAGTACCAACCATGCTGTATTAAAACACTGCTCCGCATTACTGGTATCTAACGCAAAAACTGAAGCTTAATGGAAAGGCAAACAAGAAAAGGCTCCTCTGGCAAATAAGCTCTTGTGCCAATCTGATGTTCACAGTGGAAGGGAGAGCTAACACTTTTCGGACTGCTGATAAATGTGATTGCTGCTTTGCAAAGAGGGCTCCTCTTCATAGAACAGAAGCTTTTGGACTTTTCCAGTTGTTCCTCTTCTAGCTATGGTCATGCATGTGCGAGCTTGTCATCATGCTCATAAGTTCCCCAAATGGACTGGGGCATATAACTTTTATATAAGCTGTTTGTGGAGGGGGTAGGGGTGTCACAGATGCAACTTTGATGCGACAGCCTGATCAGTGGTCAGGCTGTCAGGAAAAGCTGCACAGCAACAACATAGCACTATGTACAGACATGTGTCTGCACACACACACACGGGGGGGGGGGGGGGTCAAGTGGTTAGGCAACGGAATGCTGGAATGAGCACAACCAGAGTTCAAGCATAAATCAAGGAATCAGCCACAACCGATTGTGCACTGGAAAACTGAGACACAAGCCAGAACATGAAAAGCAACTCAGTGGTGCCAAGTAAGGAAGCAGATGCCATAGTAGATGGTAGCTTACATGCGATTATAAAATTTCAACAAAGGGGAGGGCAGGACAGGACATAGTACATTGTTTTTAATGTATTCCTGTCAATGCATTTGTATGAAATGTGCAAGTGAAGACAGGTTTTAAGAATTATATATAAGCTTCAATATAATATATATAAGCTTCAGCAACAGATCTTAGGTGACACCTATACACCATCTGTTCAACTGCTGCAACTACTGTTAAATTCTTCAATTCGTTGCTTTATAGAAAGTGAGCATGTGTTCTCCCAGTGTCAAAATATCAGTTTTTCAGCAATCAAAAAGTCAAGGAGAATTTATCTGTGCCGACCACGTATTATCTTCCAGAAAGCTGACAGATCATTTAAAACAGCATATACTACAATAAGTATTAAGAAATGTTCTGATTCAACCTTTAGCCATATACTGACCTCCTTCCAAAAAGAGACAACTACTGGGTATTCCCAAAACATAAGCTTAAAGGAAGCGTTAGCTATGTTACATCCCCAAGAATTAGCCAGTCCACCTAGATGGTAACCAGCTGTTCATGCAAAAGGCTTAGAGTTGGCTCAGAAATAAAAAAGTCTTTCTTAAACAGGGATGGCCAAATTTCAGTTTCACATTTTTTCCTATCTTAAATTTGATTCATCCCAGACATTGAGGATACATTTTTTTCAAATATATTTGTGTGTACCCTTCACTTGACACTCACTTCTGTCTATAATTTTGCGCAACACACACACTTTAAGCATTACCTTCACTTTCATGCAGTTTCGTATGCACTTTCTCCTAACCTGTGTTTTTTTATGCATTTTTTGATCGGAGAATTTCCCAGAAAAATTTGGGGAAGATATCTGATATTTGGCTAATGTAATTATTTAACAGTGTGAAAGTTGTTAAGATTGCTTTGAAATGTAAAGCAAACAAATTTCACCCTCACACCATACCTACCTTCAACCAACAGAGAGAGAGAGAGAGAGAAAGCGCGCATAGATGTAGTCCTTGGACAGTATCTGGTCTTTATTCTCATATTTAGGCTACAGTGTGACCCTGCCCCCCCCCGCACCCCAAAAAGGTAAATCATGCTCCTCTGTGCAAGAACAAACAAATTTAATCCCTGCTAGCAAAAGAGTTGCTATTTTATACCTTTATACCATGCTTTTTCCAATGTGCATGTTCCCCATTGGGTTTTCCCAATGTGTTCCCACTGCTCTGCCCCACACTTGCTGCAAACACCAGGGTTGCACAGACCAGAAGGGGCCATGCCATACGTCGGTGGCAGAACACATGCAGTGTGTGCGGATGATCCCAGGTTCAGTCCCTGGCAGTGTCTCCAGTTAAGAAGGTCAGGGAGCAGCTGGTGATGGCAGGGCCTCCTGCCTAAGATGGGCCAGTCAGAGCAGAGAGCACTTACTAAGCACCACATTCATTGTTAGCTCTACCAGTTGGAAGGCAGAGGGTGGGAAGGAAAGGGGCCAGGAATGACATCTGTATATTGCACGTCAGACACTTCATACACAGGTTCACTAACAAAATACAGGCTAGATTACCTTGGATTGTATGACTGTCCAGTCAATGCTGCAATATTCAAGTTCTTTGCTTATGAAAAGGTATTTAAAGAAATCCACAAACAGATGTGCTGGCAAACTTGTTAGTTTAGCATTTTAGGGTTCTTGACTCTCTTTGAGAATAACACTAGTTTTAGGAAGGTCACAGAATTTCTTCTGGCTTTATGTCCAATTTAGATTTTGCTGATTTCCTCCACTAAGCTATTTGGCCTTCTCAACTCCTGCCTACAAGTTACAGCACAAAATTATTCAAAAAGCCCACACAACATGCATAGATACCTTTTTCCAGCAGCCTTACATTAATGCTGCCATCAACAGGGTATCATCTGCCTACAGCACAACATAATCATCTGTGTCAGAACACTGGCTGCATTCTCAATAGAGTAGGACAAAATGAAGAAAATACACAGTGCAGAGAGGGCCAGAGAAAGCCAGCATGCGGTAGAGCATCTTTCCATCCAAGGGCCATCTAGATGTTTGGGACTACAACTCCCAGCCATGACAGGGGCTGATGGAACTGAAGTCCCAAGCATCTGCAGTGCAACTGGCTGGAAAACACCTTCCACCCTATCTGATTTATTGAGGCATGTGCTTTCGTGGGCAACAGCCTACTCTGTCAGTTGATCATGGTCTGCTTATAGACGCCCAAGCCAGAACAAATACCAGCTAGCCCTGCATGGCCACCTCCTCCTCTCTGTCTTGCAGCATCACTGGCATAAATCATGCCCCCTGCACGAACCACAACAGCAGACAGCGAGGGACAGGGACAGGCAGCCTTTTGGGCCTCCAAGTGCATGTGACACTTTGGGGACCTGGAGACACATGGGGGAGGTGAGGGCACATGATAAGTTGGGGAGGCACATGCAACAGTTCTGAGGGGAAGGGCACATGTGACAATTTGGGGGACTCAACTGACAATCTGGCGGGTGAAGCCACGTGTGACCATTCTTTTTTCAGGATCGTGAATACATTTTATATTTCAGCCCTACAGGTACATTTTCCTGTCCCCTAACCCAAATTCTCACGTTGTTTGCTCCCTGCTAAGGATTCCCACTCTTCTCCACCCACTCCTTCACCTGCCCCAGCACCACTTCACCCGCCATCCATCTGCTGGTGCTCCACTGTGCCAGCTGCCATCACCTCTTCATCTGCTGCAAACCCACCCACTGGTTGTGAGGTGCTTTGCCTGCTGCCACGGGAGCCGCCTTGGCCTTGAGAAAGGAAGAAGTTGGCTAACTGGGCAATCCCCTGCTTCCTGGCTGCAGAGGGAAAGGGAAGTGGCAGCGAGCAGATGGGTGGGCATGGAAGGGTCCCGGGGGAGGAGGGGAATTGGTGGCAGGGTCCAGGAGGTGCACTCAGGGTCCAGGAGGCTCCCTGGATTAAATGGTGCACAAGAGTGGTTTATGTGATTTCCCCACACACACTTAAAGCATGGAGGAAATATAAGGACAGCACAGTATGTACATGATGGTGGGTGTATGTAGGGTGCCCAGTTTACCCTGGAGACTACTCTGGGCAGAAGGCACAAACAGATTCCCCACCAAGCCTACTCCTGGCAGAATATAAGAAAATAGGCTTCTTAATCTCTAAGATACCTTAGCAGAGAAAAAGATCCAAGAGACTAATTTTTCCTAAATATTATTGACAAAGGTTCCATGCCATCAGAATGCAAGCCTATGACTCTGCTATCAAAAACTGAAGTCTATCACTTTACAACCTTCTTTTCTACTGCTAAGCCTAAATTTACTTTATGAGTTTTCTTGAAACTGCCAGGGAAAAAAAGGTGACATTCATGCCCTTTGGTACCATCTGGGATCTACTGTTCTCTCTCACTCTTCCCAAACACTCCCCTTCTCTAACACTGAAAATCTGCTGCATTAATCATCCAAAAAATGTATCATTCTTGCATATAGTCCCTTGCACTGACATATCAGAAGCAAATTCTGAACCGGAAACTTTCTGGCAAGTTGCTTTATTTCATGAGAGATGTATCAGTTTATCACATGCATATCACAATCCAAATGTCCACAATGTCTGGATGGCCTTGACAGCACGATGCTGACATGTATGAGAACATGACCCTGCCCTTCCCCTGAGAGAGGGAGTGGCGTCTTTGACAGCACACCGAGCACTCCAAACACCTCCAGAGCACTACACCACCCACTTTGCAGCTCCAGACCCAGGGGAAGGGAAGCCCATCACACCTGTTAGAGGCAGAGCAGGGAAGGATGCTCATTGCTGGAGGTTTCCATCCCAGTCATCTAATAGTCTCAAGAAAAGGTACCACAATGAGTGATGAAGGTAGGAAAGCCTTAATTCTTAGAGACAAGGAACAAGGGTAATCAAACCTACCCTAAATGTGTCCCCTCTGTTCTCCCTGAAATAGTTACTGCTATTCACTAGTGTGGAAAAAATTAAACACTAAGTGTTGTACTAAGACAAAATTCTGCCCTTCACCACAATATTGGGTGACCCTCAGCTAATGCGCAAGAGGAGCAGAGAACACAGAAAGCTCTCCCATCGTACTCACACACACTTATAACCTGCTTGTCAAAAGGATGGGTACGTGACTAGTTCCAACATGATTAAGCTGAAGAGTCTAGAAAGAATCCAAAAGAGCCCTGTCAATAGCCA